CTAAATATCATGGAATGATCCTTTTATGTGAGGTTTCTTTCTTTTAATTTTATTTCTCAAAGGATGTAGTCGTGGACATTATGGCGAAAAATGTCAACAAAAGTGTGGTAAATGTGAAGATAACAACACATGTCATCACATTAATGGATCTTGTTATGGACTTTGCGAACCCGGATATCAGGGAGAGAAATGTCAAAATAGTTAGTATTTTGTATTGAAATTTTGAAATCCTAGGATAAACTAGAAATGTATGTTGGCTGCATCCAAATTATTCAAAACAAAATATAAGATTCTTAAGATTTTTCAAAGAGATATGATGCAAAATTGTTTCTGTTTCCCATATTCAGAAAACCTTGCCCGTGTAAATCTCGCTTTCTGGAGAGTAAACCCATCTTATATGTATAACACGGAACGAAAAAAAACCCACCTCGACTTGTGTAATATAATTGGCTTCACCTCTTTAGTTACATGTATACATTCAAGAAGGCGAGCGTATCAACTTACTATTATACTTCACTAAATTTCTAAACTAGTTTGTTCAAGACAAGAATTTGGAACCTGGATATCGGGAAAGGACATGCATAAAAGGTTTGAAATATATGGACTTTTTCGGGATCTTTCAGAAAATTTCAAACACATCCCTCCTGTAATATCAATTTCTTTTGTAAAAATATCTCCTAAGCACCTCAGTTTTATCTCTTTCTCTCATATGTTATCATTATGACAAGCCTGGGACCATGATAAAATATTGCTTATTATCCAGTTTTGCTTACTTAAATAACACACTGACACGCAAATGAAATGCAACATAGATATAGGTATAAGTTCGTACTTAAAAAGCAATAACAGCTCAAATTTAGAGTAGTCAGCAATTTAACTCCTGAATGACTCAATGATTTTAACCCCGTTTCCGGAAAAAAAAACATCTCTTATTACATGTACTTAGTGTGAATTCAGTGTGAATTCATTTTTTTTTTCAAATCATTACCCCGGTAAGGCATCAATAGGTTATAAAAGTTTTACTAGGAAATAAATTGATTTTTTTGTAAACGGCAGGTACTGCAGGTTTAATTTATCTCAAATTACAACCCCAACCCCACTCTAATTTGACAGGGGACACGTAGGGCGATGAAAATTTACATAAAAATGCAATATATGGTAAACAGTTTTTAAATATCTTCGCCTAAAGCCAAGATTACTTATACTAATATGGAAGCATCGTAAGGCAATGTAGATAAAAGTTTGTTCAAATCATGATCCTGTAGGTGAGGTTGGGGCATATTTAGCAATTAAAGCTTCACATACAGATTATACAGGGAAATATCTCAAGAAAAGCAAAGTCATGTTATGTTATGGCAATAAGTGCCAGTCTCAAGAAAATCGTCATACAGAATATTAAAGAGCTTCTAAAACATTCGACCTTCAATCCATGTGACCTTGAATTTGATTTTTCTGATAAAAGATAAATTTCTGCTTTTATTTTTTGCCGTCATAAATTTAAGTTTATCTTGTAGAATGCCGAAAAGGCTTATATGGTATGAATTGCAGTCTTTCCTGTGGAAGGTGTTTTAAACAAGAACACTGCAATCACGTGTCAGGTTTTTGTCCTTCTGGACTCTGTGAACCAGGATGGAAACTTACAAGTGACAGAAAATGCAATCAGAGTACGTACATATATGTTCTATATGCTTTATGACAGTTCTGGTTTTCAATAAGAAATATGTTTTCTTCAAGTATATAATTATATTCAATCATACTCGAGGAGAGAACTGTAGCAAATTTAGTGAATAAATTTTAAACTAGATGCTGTCATAAGACAGGAATGCCCGCACTAATGTGTTTGCCTCTAAATGCAGGAACGTAGCATCGGGGGATGGGGGGGGCAGAGAAGGCCTGCCCCCCCCCCACTTTTTTCGAAACATAAACTTATACTATTGAAAATATTCATGAAAGAGTGGTTCCCCCACTTTTTGTTGCATTATAGTCAAATAAAAGTAACGTAGTGGTGTATATATAAAATTGGGGTACTGAAAGAAGTTGGGACCAACCCCAACCCCACCCCACGAAATAGGATTTTTGAGTTTTGAAAAAAAAAAATTCTTGGCTTGTCAAGTTTTTTTTTCAGGTAAGTTGATTTTTTTCTCTCTGGCTGCCCCCCCCCCCCCAACTTTCAAAATCGTTGCTACGTCCCTGAAATGTGCTCTGACTGCTCGATCTCCTTCAAATTCTGGTAACCAGGGAAGAAGCACAGCATCCCATATGGGCCTCTGATGTAAATCAGGTGCGGATCCAGGAATTTTTTCCAGGGGGATCCAACCCAGAAATTTCTTGGTGGGAAAAGGGGGGGTGGGTTGGGGAGAGGGGGTTTGGCCGCTCACTTTTTAAGCTTCATATGTATAACTTTTCATACCAACTTAACAGGGGTCCGTGTTTTCTATGGGGGGGGGGGGTTCCAAGGTCACTTTCAGTTGCTTTCGTATGTAGATTTCGTATATAGGTTCCTGACCCCCCCCCCCCCCTAGATCTGCGCATGTAAATATGTCATTACCAGTCTGATATTACCTAATAATGTAAATTCTAATGTAATGTAATGCAAATTTTGTCCAGTCTTAACTTGACAACCCTTTGACATTAAGACTTCACACTTGAAACATTGAGAGGTGGTATGGAATTGGGGTTGAGGCCACCAAACTTTTTTTACCTTGATCTTTCGATAAGATCAATATCAATCTTTACATAAAAATATAGTCCAGGCTTTAACCTGAGAACCCTTTGACATTAGGATTTCAAATTTGTAACACAGAAAAAAGACATTTACAAAAGATGCACTGCTCTCAAATTTTGACCTTGACTCCTTCCTTCGTTCAAAGTCAAATTGAGAAAAACACCTCCAAACCATAACTTAAGAACCTTTTGACATTAAAACTTCAATCTTGGAACATGGAGAGGTGGTATGGAGAAATGGTACATGCAAACAAATTTTTTTACCTTGTTTTTATGCCCCGCCATGAATATGGCCGGTGCATATAGTGTTTGTCATGTCCGTCTTCCGTCCTTCCGTCCTTTCATCCTTCCGTTCTTCCGTCTGTCTTTCTGTCACACTTTGCGTTTAGCTCTGTTCAAAGCTCAGTTTCAAAGAAACTATCGAGGATATTTTTATCAAACTTTATATGCTGATAAATATTGTTGAGAGCTATGCATCAACATTTTTTGACCTCGACCTTTCCTTTGACCTTGACCTCACTTTTCTTAGATTAGTGTTTAGCTCAGTTTTAATAAAATCATTCAAGATATTTAAATCAAACTTCAGATGCTGATACATACTAATGAGAGCTATCCAACTGCATCAATATTTTTTTACCTTGACCTTTCTTTTAACCTTGACTTCAATTTTCTTAAATTTGTGTCAAAATTCATAAATGGGAAAATACACTTAATTTGATCGCCGAAATATGGCTGAAATATTGCCGACTCGGCATTAAACAATAATAATCAATCATAATCAATCCAAACGATGATTAGGCTGTTGTGTAAAATGTAGGAGGAGTTCTGGAAACCAGGGTCTTTTTGTATAAAAAAACATCATTTTTCGACCCCCATTTGACCCCCAGGGTGAAAATGAAAATTCCGAAACCTTATTGCACAACTACAGGACACCACTAACCACCTCCCCAAAGATGAAAAGGCTAATGTGTAAAATGTAAGAGGAGTTCAGGAAACCAGGGGCTTTTTGCATAAAAAACGTCATTTTTCGACCCCCATTTGTCCCGAAGGGTGAAAATGAAAATTCCAAAACCTTACTGCACATCTACATGACGCCAACAACCATCTCCCAAAAGATTTACTGTGTAAAATGTAAGAGGAGTTCAGGGAACCAGGGGCTTTTTGCAATTAAAAAAAAAGTCATTTTTCGACCCCCATTTCACCCCCAGGGTGAAAATGAAAATTCTGAAACCCTACTACACATCTACATGACACCACCAACCATCTCCCAAAAGCTGATTAGTCTACTGTGTAAAATGTAAGAGGAGTTTGAGAAAGAAGAGTGTGACAGACGGACGGACGCACGGACAGACAGACGGACGAACGGACAGACAGACATGAGTAACAACAATATACCCGAACTTTCTTTAGAAAGTGATGGTATAAAAAGAGACAATAGCTAAAAAAGCAAATAAATCGTGCATAGACGAATCAAACAGGCGAACACAATAAAAACAACCTGTTTAAAGATGAATTTACATTTTTTTTTTCAAATAAACTTTCAGGTGGAATGGAAAATGATATTTTTTTCTGATGTTTTACGTCCCTGCCCTTATCCAAGGAAATCAATTCAATTTGAAATGACTTCTTTTTTTTTACATAATTCATTATTTTGGTCTTTGCTTAAGCAGAGAGGAGTTTAACACTTTTTGGTACATTTCGAGACTCTGTAAGTCATTTTTTACTATCGAAAACTTTGTTTTTTACTTAAAACCCACGGAAATTTAAATCTTAAAGTATTTATTTTTTTTTATTGGCAAAAACAGATTTCACCAGAAAAGATATCTCGCTTATTACATTTAATGCCAAATAACTGTCTCGCGAAAGAAAGAGGCGCAAAAAATACGTGATCTACAGTAACAAAGTTGTTTTCCAAACGGCTAGATGTTACAAATGAATAGTGAATGGTTTTTAGCTTAATATCATTCATGATTTATTAACTAAATTATTTTATTTATATTATTTTTTGTAGCATGCAATGAGGGTTTTTACGGAATGAATTGTACTCATCCCTGTGGACAATGTGCAAACAACGCAACATGTGATCACATGAGAGGTTCCTGTCCTAACGGATACTGTGAACCAGGATGGAAACATACAACTGAAAAGAAATGTGATAAAGGTGCATATGTAATTTCACGTTTTATAACGCTAGTGATTTTTACAGCAGACTTTTGAATTACGCATTTCCTTTTAGATTTAAATTAATTTTATTTATTTATTTATTTTCATTTCAGTATGTGACAATGGAACATTTGGATTATACTGCCGGTATAACTGCAGTGGACACTGTTCAGGCGGATCACCGTGTTCCAAAGTAGACGGGTTGTGTCTTAGAGGATGTGACGATGGATGGAGAAATTCTTATTGCAATGAAAGTAATATTTTTCAATGTCTTCTTAAATACAGAGTGTTAATGATTAGATAATAGCATTATTTATTACAATTGTTTACCTGTATACGTTTCTTTGTTTGTGAAAAATGTAAGTTTCCCTCTCAAATAAAACAAATACTGACAGATAAATCGTATATATAAATGCTCTTTATCAATTATGTGATTTTTGGCTTAGAGAATAACTTTATTATACCCGCACTTTCTAAAGAAAGTTCGGGTATATTATTGTTACTCATGTCCGTCCGTCCGTCCGTCTGTCATACTCTTCTTTCTCAAACTCCTCTTACATTTTACACAGGTGCCTAATCATCTTCTGGGAGGTGGTTGGTGGTGTCATGTAGATGTGCAGTAAGGTTTCGGAATTTTCATTTACACCCTGGGGGTCAAATAAGGGTTGGAAAACGACGTTTTTTTATGCATAATCTCCTGGTTCCCTGAACTCCTCTTACATTTTACACAGTAGCCTAATCATCTTTTGGGTGATGGTTGGTGGTGTCATGTAGATGTGCAGTAAGGTTTCGGAATTTTCATTTTCACCCTGGGGGTCAAATGGGAGTCGAAAAACGACGCTCTTTATGCAAAAAGCCCCTGGTTCCCTGAACTCCTCTTACATTTAACACAGTAGCCTAATCATCTTTTGGGTGATGGTTGGTTGTGTCATGTAGATGTGCAGTAAGGTTTCGGAATTTTCATTTTCACCCTAAAGGTCAAACGGGGGTCGAAAAACATTTTTTTTTATGCAAAAAGCCCCTGGTTCCCTGAACTCCTCTTACATTTTACACAGTAGCCTAATCATCTTTTGGGTGATGGTTGGTGGTGTCATGTAGATGTGCAGAAAGGTTTCGGAATTTTCATTTTCACCCTGGGGGTCAAATGGGAGTCGAAAAATGACGTGTTTTTTTTTAATGGAAAAAGCCCCTGGTTCCCTGAACTCCTCTTACATTTCACACAGTAGCCTAACCGTCTTTTGGGTGATGGTTGGTGGTTTCATGTAGATATGCAGTAAGGCTTTGGAATTTTTATTTTCACCCTGGGGGTCAAATTAGGGTCGAAAAATGACGTTTTCTATCAAAAAGCCCCTGGTTCCCTGAACTCCTCTTACATTTTACACAGTAGTCTAATCATCTTTTGGGAGATGGTTGGTGGTGTCCTGTAGATGTGCAGTAAGGTTTCAGAATTTTTATTTTCACCCTGGGGGTCAAATGGGGGTCAAATTTTTCAAAGAAATATTTAACATGTCTAAACATCCTGGTTCCCAGATTTTCCCTTATATTTTATGCATTAGCCTAAAATCATGATCATTTGGAAGATGATTGATTTCGTCCGGTGAATGTGTAAAATGATTTTAAAATTTAAATTTCCATGTGGATGGCAAATAGGGGCAGGAAAAATGGCCCCTCCCTAACCCATGGGGTCAATATTTGTACAAACTTGAATCTACACTTCTTGAGAATGTTTCCATTTTAATCATGCTTTTGTTGTTTTTGAACACGTTGAAAAGAAGAATTCTAAAGATTTTTTTTTCCCTTTTTATTCCTATATAAAACTTTGATCCCTTATTGTGGCCTGACTCTATCCTCGGAGGTTATGATTTGAAAACATGATATATGTCCATAGGACATGAATGCCCCGCCGAATGTATATTACTAAAACAACATGAAAATTTGTATGAGTGTATGAAGTTTGATGAGAATATCTTGAACAGTTTCTTTAAAACTGAAACTAAATCTTTAAAAAAATGGATACAGATGATAAATTCTCACCAAATTATGTATAAGTGCATGCTTACATAAACAATATCTTAGATTGTTTCTTTAAAACTAAGCAAAAAACAAATTAAAGAGAAGGGAGGTCAACGTCACAGGAAAGTGCAAGGTGAAAAGTTTTTTATGCAGTTGAATAGCTCTCACTAATACATATCAGCATATTAGGTTTGATAAAAATATCTTGAATGATTTATTTAAAACTAAGCTTAACACTTACTTAAGAAAAGAGAGGTCAAAGAAAATGTTGAGGTCAAAATGGTGATGCAGTTGAAAAGCTTACATCAGTATGTATTTACTATTAGCATATGAAGTTTGATAAAAATATCATAAATGGTTTATTTAAAACGTAGATAAACACTAATTTAAAAAAGTGAGGTCAAAGGAAAAGTCAAGGTCAAAAAAGTTGATGCAATTGATAGCTGTCAGCAGTGTGTATCAGCATACGAAGTTTGATAAATATATCTTGAATTGTTTATTATACCCCCGCTTCGAAGGAGAGGGGGGTATACTGTTTTACCCTTGTGTGTGTGTCTGTCTGTCCGTAACAAATTTTTCGACGCAGTTTTCTCAGCAACTACTCATCGCAGATGCTTGAAATTTTAACACACTCTTTGCTTAGGCATGCCATATGGTGGGATTAATTTTTGTACGAATCCGATGTCAACTTCCTGTTTATCCATGCGTCTGTCCGTACCATACATAACAAATTTTCGTTGCAGCTTTCTCAGCAACTACTGATCGATGATGCTTTAAATTTTAACACATACTTTGTTAAGGCTTTCCATATGGTTGGATTCATTTTTGTACGAATCCGTGGTCAACTTCCTGTGTATCCGTGCATCTGTCCGTACAATACATCACAAAGTTTCGTCACAGTTTTCTCAGCAACTACTCATTGCAGATGCTTGAAATTTTTGAACACTCTTTGTTTAGACATGCCAAATAATGGGATTCATTTTTGTACGAATCCTTGATCAAATTCCTGTTTATCCGTGCGTTTGTCTGAACCATACATAACAAATTTTCGTCAGAGTTTTCTAAGCAACTTTTCATCGCAGATGCTTGAAATTTTAACACACTCTCTGTCTAGGCATCCCATATGGTGGGATTAATTTTTGTATGAATCCGATGTCAATTAACTTCCCGTTTATCCGTACTCAGAGTGTATATTCACATCAGAGCGAGGGTATTACTAGTGAGTATTGGCTTACATACTTCTTGTTCAAAACTGATCTAGACACTAATTTAAGAAAAGTGAGGTCAAGGTCAAAGGAAAGGTTAAGGTCAAAAAGGTTGATGCAGTTGAAAAGCTTACATTATTATTTATCGGCATATGAAGTTTGATTGAAGTCGGACATGACAAACACTATTTCATGGCAGTGCATAAAAAAATTGAATCTTCACTATATATGAGGTTGTTTCCATATCAAAATGACTTACAAGCAAAATCAAAGAATTGTGGTCCCCTGCTTTTCGTGTCCTAGCGGATGGGATGCCAATATTTATGACATATTGTTTCAAATATGCACGCCCTATCACATGTCATTCAAAAGTAATCACCAGAGTTAAAATTTTTGAAAATTAGGTCAAACATCAAAGTCAAGGGGTAAATAATCATAGCATGCTCGGAAACATATCTTGGATCAACTCTAGTACATCTCTGGGTTGCTTTTGACTTTGTCGAAGACGTCTTCCCAACTCATTCTAAAGAAGTTTTATCAGATTAAGATATGGCAACCGTCCAAGAAATAGCATAAGGTTTATCTGGTTGATATTGAAAAATTTGTATATGTGCATATTTGTTCTTGCATTATCAAGCTGAAAAGTTAGAGGATTAATTACAATTTGGTAATAACGGAAAAAAGCGGCAGTTCAGGCTGCAAAGTGTATCAATATAGCGTGTTGCCTTAAGTGTATTCCTCAAAACAATGAGGGAAACCTTAAAGTTAAGGTTAATTGCACCGTGCTCTGCGCTGTATCAAACATTAGACCTAAACATAGAGAGTGACTGTTCCTTTGCCGTACGCCCGGTATTAGAAGTCACGCGTGTGACGGTTAAATTAAATAGGTATGCTTAAAAATTCATCCTTCCAAAATCGATGTATGTGTTTTATCAACCCCTTTTCTGAGAACAAAGCATATGCATGTTGTGGATTAAGAATATTTCAAGTTGAGGAATCAGTATCCAATATGGTTGATTTGAATACTATGTGACAGAAAAACATTCTTTTTTTTTTAGCATGCGAAAAAGGTTTTTACGGAAGAAACTGTACCATTCCCTGTGGACAATGTGCCAAATATGCAACATGTCATCACGTGACAGGCTCCTGTCCTAACGGGTACTGTGAACCAGGATGGCAAAATACACCTCACAAAAGATGCAATAAAGGTATCGTGATAAAATATAAATAAAATGTTTAACTGATAAATTACATGTATAAATCATATTTTTCAAATAGAAAATGATGTTTTCAGTTTCCTAATTCATTTCGCATGAGAGGGTGCTGAAATGAATTTGTTTTTATTTTCATTTGGACCTATTTTGGTTATTTGAAATTATTTTAGATTTGGGTGGAACCCATTCTCCCCATTTTATATAATTATGAAGTTAACGAAATTTAATTGCCTTTATGAAATAGCAAACATTTTTTTGCTGCTTATTTTGACAATTTCCATATTCTTTACTTTGCATGGTTTATATTTTTAGCTCACCTGAGCCGAAGGCTCAAGTGAGCTTTTCTGATCACATGTTGTCCGTCGTCCGTCCGTCTGTAAACTTTTCACATTTTTTATTCTTCTCAAGAACCACCTGGCCAAATTCAACCAAACTTGCCACAAAGTATTCTTGGGTGAAGGGGATTCAAGTTTGTTAAAATGAAGGGCCACACCCTCTTCCAAGGGGAGATAATTAGGAATTAGTGAAAAAATAATGGCATCATTTAAAAATGTTCCTCTCAAGAACCACTGGGCTAGGAAGGATGAAACTTATGCGGAAACATCCTCAGGTAGTGTAGATTCAAATTTGTTCAAATCATGACCCCCGTGGGCAGGGTGGGGCCACAATGGGGGATCAAAGTTTTACATAGAAATATATAGGAAAACATCTTTAAAAATCTTCTTCTTAAGAACAGCAAAGCCATGATTAATGATATTGATATGGAGGCATTCTTCAGTTGTGTAGAATGAAATTTGTTCAAATTAGGGCCCCCGGGGGTAGGAAGGGGCAACAATGGGGGATCAAAGTTTTTCATAAGAGTATATAGAAAAAACTTAAAAAATCTTCTTCTTAAGAACAGCAAAGCCATGATTAATGATATTGATATGGAGGCATTCTTCCGTTGTTTAGAATGAAATTTGTTCAAATTAGGGCCCCCGGGGGTAGGATGGGGCCACAATGGGGGATCAAAGTTTTTCATAAGAGTATATAGAAAAAACTTAAAAAATCTTCTTCTTAAGAACAGTAAAGCCATGATTCGTCATATTTATATGGAAGCATCCTCAGGTAGTGTACATTCAAGTTTGTTCAAATCATGACCCCGGGGGTAGGGTGGGGCCACAATGGGGGATCAAAGTTTTACATAGAAATATATATAGGAAAATATCTTTTAAAATCTTCTTCTTAAGAACAGCAAAGCCATGATTGGTTATATTTATATGGAAGCATCTTCAGGTAGTGTACATTCAAGTTTGTTCAAATCATGACCCCGGAGATAGGGTGGGGCCACAATGGGGGATCAAAGTTTACAGAGGAATATATGGGAAAAAAATCTTTTTCTGAAGAACAGAAAACCCATGATTAGTCAAATCGATATGGAGGCATCCTTGGGTAGTGTAGAATTTGTTCAAATGATCGCCCCCGGGGGTAGGGTGGGGCCACAATGGGGGATCAAACTGTTACATATGAATATATGGGAAAAAAATCTTCTGCTCAAGAACAGCAAAGCCATTTGTTATATTGATATGAAAGCATCATTAGGTAGTTTGAAATTCACCCCCCCCCCCCGACGTAAACATTTCAATACTGAATTGCTTTTTGCTTTTTTTTTCCCAAGCCAATGTGCTCAGGTGAGCGATGTGGCCCATGGGCCTCTTGTTTTAATCATGTACTTAAATAGAAACTTAGGACTTATCTTGTTTTAGAAATGCGTATGCAAGAAAAGAACAGGACAAAATGAATGAAAAATTAATAATGTGAAAGTAATTCTAATTGATTTTAATTGATTTTATATCATTTCAAATCTGAGTTTATATTTAGGCAAAGTATGCATACTAGCAGAAATGTCCCTGTTTGTGGGCCTTCTCTAACACAATTGTCTTTCCTGCAAGATTAGAATTGAAAAAAATGTAATCATGTACTAGGGAAATTAAGTAAAGTATGATCCGTAAAAAATGTTTAGACGTTATAATGTGGCAGCTAGCGATATATTTTATTAAAGAAAATCTTAATTCATTTCAACACGCCCGTTATTATACACACATTACTGGAGAATTTTAGGTAGAAAAGATTATATGCATTTTTATGATCAAAATCACAGACATGTAGCAAAATAGATAAAAATCAGAGGATCAGAGGATCCCTTGTTATATGTTGAGATTTGAAATAAACTTTAACTTTTTTTTTTATGAAAGCACATTTTCTTTGGATTTGCCTCATAATTGATGATAGTTAAATTAGTTCGTTAAATCTTCTCCTTAGAGTGCGATAATGGAACCTTCGGACACCACTGTATGAATAATTGCAGTGGGCATTGCAAAAGGGGATTGCCGTGCAAAAAGGATGACGGGAATTGTATTGAAGGGTGTGCAGATGGATGGACAAATAAGAAGTGCAATGAAAGTGAGTTAACTAGGTGAAGTTCTAAAATCAGCGGAGAGATAAAAAAATTACATTTACTTAATTCATTATAGTCAACAAACACCATTATTCTTGTCTAATGACAGAAGACAGGACTGATTAAAAAAAATTAAATTGGTTTAACATATTCATTTTCTTTGGCTTGTAAGAATTGAAATTAGATTTTGTTTTCTTTTCGTTTCGGCAGAGAATTGCTGCAGTAGTCAATTGAATAAAAAAATATTCACTGTTAACATAATTGAAGTAGCATATACTCAAAATTGAGCAAATTTATCCTCTACGACTTTTTATCACAATCATACATTAGTGCACTCAAGAATTTAATCCAATATGTAAAAGTTATAACATTTCATCGGTTATAAGTGTGTATATAAATAAGCTGATGAAAAATCTTATTTAAGTTGTGTTCAGTATATTTTTCACTGTGTTAGGGTAAATGACGTGCAGAAGTACTAAGATTCAAGATGTCACATAGTAAGGGGAAAAAATACCTGGTCAATCTTTTAAAAAGACTGAAATCCTTCCGTTATCAAAGAGATGTATTAAAATAAAAAGCGGAGAAATACGTTTAATTCATTCTGAATTTAAAAGTATATTCACAGTACATGAAAATGTTATTATCAGCTACTTGCAGAGTATGCATTGTATTTGTCCACTTCAAGGAGAGGTTAATACATATTAAGAATATTAGGGCATTTTATAGAACAGATAAAAAAATCAACAATATATCGAGTATTGCTTCATGAGATACATGTATTGTTTTATGTCGTATTGAAAGTATTTGTTCAAAACACAGCCTTAAAGGAGGGGGTAGTGATGTTGCAAAAGCAAACTTGGTTTTGAATATCATTCCATGCCTTGTGAAAGGGAGAGCCGGGTGAAACTGCAATACTGTACTTGGTTAAGAATATCCATTGAGTTGAAAAAGACGTGCGAGAGCCATGTTTCCCGAAGAATAAAGTATATATAGCTATCTATGATTTCCTTGAATAGTTTATATCTATTGAATTTTATTGCAGCATGCAGTAGGGGTTTTTATGGCAAAGGTTGTCAAGAAATATGCGGTAAGTGTGGGGGAACTGACACATGTCATCACGTAAGTGGATCGTGTCCAAGGTTTTGTGCACCTGGGTATAAGACAGAAAAATGTGATATAGGTATGAACCTCTCTTTTGTTCTGTTTTAAGACTTTAAAATTGTATTCACAAGGTAATTGCATTCTAAGGATACAAAAAAAAGCCCCTACAGTTTTTTACCAGTGTCAATGAAAGAATTACATTTCTGAAAACAATTTTGTTAAAGAATTTTATTATCTACAAAGAAATACGTTTGTTTGTACAGAATGTGACAACGGAACTTTTGGATTCCGCTGCAATTTTACCTGTACAGAAAGTTGTCTATCTATCTGCAATAAGATAAACGGAACATGTGATAATTGTCAATACGGATTCGTCGGAGAGTTCTGCAATATTACAGGTATAGTTTAGTCAGCAACATACAATGAAAAATATAATTATTCAAAACATTATTCTAATGGAATTATATTTTGGTAATATATTGGAATATTGTTTTATTTAAACAAAAAGTATATTGCTTTCTTTGTTGATTTTTATATGACCTTTGAAAGTATAAGCTGTGCTGGTTTATAACTTAAGCTATTAAGCGGTAGATTTTTTTCATTTCTTTAAAAGATGCATTTACTTTCATACTTGCATTGGGGTTAGACAAGGCGATAACACGAGTCTAAATCTGTTCACAATTTATCTTAATATTATATTAAATTATCTCTCAAACTCATCGTCATCATTGAAAATTCTGTCAGTTTAAACAATGATTTATCCACATCTGTTCATTGCTTATGTTACACCTCCCCCTCCCTTTCTCCTGATAAGGGTCTACAAGAAAATATCAACATACTACTTAGATGCTGAAAAGATTGGAGCCCCAAAGTTAATACAAAGAAAACAGAAGTTATAAATTTCAATTCATCTGGTAATCAAATCAAAATCCCCTTTCTTCTGAATAATAGCAACATCATGTATGTTAAACAGTACGCGTATTTGAGTAAGACAATTAATGCATCTGGAATACTAACTAGCGCTAACACTGATTATTACAGAAGCGTATTAGTGCCACTTGGACATTTTTTTTCATTTTTCATTTTCCACACTTTAATCTGTAAATGTGTAAAATTTACACTTAAATGTGTAAAATTTACACTTTAATCTGTAAATTGTACACGTTAATGTGTAAAATTTACACTTTTTTTATCTGTTTAATTTACATAATCAATTTTGCAACTTCATTCATCTTAATGTATGACTAATATAAAACTTTCATAGAATATATGAAAGAATTATGAATGCAGTGGATGTGAAGAGTAAATCAAACATATTTATATCTTCTCAATAAACATAATATTGATATCATTATACGCAAATTCGTTGATGTGCTCAGCAGTGCAATTATTGATGGCATTAATTAAATTACATTCTACATGTATTACGGGCAACAATTAAATTACTTACTGAATTGAGAATTTTTAAATAAACAATTAAAATATTAATTATAAAAGTATAAACATATTTAAAAAATTAAAGTATATGAGTTTATATTAATTTTGGATCAGCATAGAAATTAATATCCTTTGATTCAATGATGTACCTTTATTGTTCGAAAATGACCATAATTTTAACAGTTATATTTTACATCATGATCATAGACTCATAAACTTGAAATCTGAACTGCAAATGAGAAGACAAAAATATTTGATATATATAATTTTTACTGTTCTTCGCTCTTTACTATAGTACTAAAGAAATAAACTGAATTGAAAGCAGATTCCCGATATTTTGCTGGGAAAAATTATGAGACCCATGAACACATCGCCCATCCTTACTAATCATATAAACATGTATAAATTTGTTATGCAAACACTTGTGAACATCTTAGCTTTATACTATTTTTTTTCAAATGACATAGGTATAACACAATGAAACGACCGTTCGATTATTACAGATTACAGTGCACGTTTTTCAAATTAAAGTGTAAAATTTACACATTAAAGTATATAAATTTTACAGATTAAAGTGTAAAATTTACAGACTAAAATGTAAATTTTACAAATTAAAGTGTAAAATTTACAGATTAAAGTGTAAAAGTTACACATTAAAGTGTAAGATTTACACACTTTGAATGTAAATTTTACAGATAAAAGTGTAAATTTTACAGATTAAAGTGTAAATTTTACATATTAAAGTGTAAAATTTACAGATCAAAGTCTAAATTTTACACATTATAGTGTAAATTTTACACATTAAAGTGTCGAAATTAAAAAATAAAAAAAGTGTCAAAATGGTACTAATACGCTTCCGCAGATTTTTGCAACAAAACCAAAAATTTCTTCAAAACTTCAAAAAAACTTTCTCACATTTCATCCATCTGTAAACACTGTTTTGAATGTATTTGATCACACTATTAAAGCAATTATCCTGTATGGTTCAGGTTTTTTTATCCATCAATGTAAGAGACTTATTTTTGTACTCATATTAAGTAGAATTTATTCAAAATCTTCTACATGAGAAGAAAAAAAACATGTTGTGGCCTTCAACTCGACATTGAGATATATCGAGGACGTATTATCAATTCACAATAGTTACTCTCGTTTCGTTCATATGTCGATTCGATATATCCCAATGATCTTTACATAAAAGATACCTCCGATTCTGACACATCTGTTTCATATTCAGATATTTTATCAGAAAAAATACGTTAATGTTAACATAACAACAAAACTTTATGATAAACGAGATGACTTCAACCTTTCAATCATCAACCTCCCTTACTTATGTAGCAATGTAGCCTTATCACTTGCATATGCGGTTTATGTCTCTCAGATGATTTGATACGCAAGCGTATGCTCTACGTATGGAAAATTTCTAAAAGGGGGCAAGCTATTGACAAATAAGTTGATGAAACAAGGATATCAACAGTCTTGCAAATTTTACGTACATACAGCGCTGCTATCCCACAAGTTGACATGGGATGGGTTTGGATAGGATTCAGGATTGAGGATTCACGATAGAAACATATAGTAGTTAATCCAATCCTATCCTATCCTATCCTATCCTGTATCCTTCAGCCAATCAGATTCGAGTAAAGGTTGATTCATATTTCAGAATTAATTACAAAAACGGAATATGTTTTAAAACGTTTACAAAAGAAATATTTATAAAATTACGATAGAAAATAAACATATTTTGTTTATTTTAACACAAAGTAATAATTAAGTTCGAGTGACATTGCGTACGATTTAACCGTGAACGATCACCGGAAGAATCTTCGCATGTAAACAACGAAGAGTTCGGACATCAAGAGATCTTATTTTCTTCAGCATGTTTGGATGATTAAGCCAATTCCTACTTGTTTTAAAGTTCAGTAACATGTAACTGTGTTAAATGTGCTCTGTCTGTCTTGATAATTCTACACAAACCGCCAACGGCGGACTTGAACAGATCGATATCGCAGTTGTTTGGTGCAAGAACATGTAAGTATACTACACACTGTACATGTGTGCATGTTTATACATTTCCCCCGTTTAAACAATGTTATAATGACTTGAGCTATCAAAATTTTATTCTATTATAATATAGACAAAAATCGGGTGTGGAAAAATAGGTAGTGTAGGAAGGGGAGGGGGTTAAAAATTTACAAATACTCTGTCATGATTCAATGTGTTCTAAAACAATAAGATGTATTATGCCTTTTTTCAGTTTGTTATTACTATATTATTTACCTACTGTGGTTTAAAAAATGTTGTTTTTTTTATTTGAGTGCAATTATAATAAAATAAAGACAATCATTTCTTATGCTACTGTTTAAATTGTATTATAAGCCAACTCAGCACTTACATGTACATTTTATGTATGACCTATTCTGGGTTATGAATTATAAATTAATCATTCATTATTCTTCATTGCAGAGAATGATACTTGGTTTTGCCTGCCCTCATCAAAATATTTTGGGAGGAAAAAAGGATTTTACATTTAAAAAGTAGGTATGATTATTAACATGTGTTTATACATGGGTATCAGTATAATACATACATATCATTATCTGAGTTGAGATGAAGTTTCTGAAGATTCTCTGAATAAGTGATTTTTCTTCTTTTTTAAAAAAAGAGTAAAACTGAAAACAATGTGCTATTGTTCTGGTCATCAGGGTCATCATCATGTTATATGTATTTTCATAATTTTTTCTTATTCAAATTTTAAGCAAAGAAGAAAACAAACAAAAAACATAAATAGATTAATACAAGCAGAAAAATTCAAAATAGAGAGAAAAAAACAAACAAACAAATGTACTCATACTAGTTAACAAGTTGACGAGATGAAATGAATTACAATTTACAAGTAAATTATGATTGTTTAATTAAGATATGACTATGAAGTTGCAGTATAAGACTTGAGTTTGCTTGATTTCTTTAAATGCATTACTCTAGCAGAGAAAAAGGTAAAATTCAGCCAGTCGTACATGAAATAAGAAAGATAATCACAATAAAATAGTTTTAATGTATAATGTATATGATAGAATTGCACAATCTACATGCATATATTGTTATAATCTTGATAATAATTGTTTTTTTAGGACGATCCTGCATATTCGCTGCTGTACATATTGCAGTGCATCTCATCTGCTGCTGGAATAAATATGACAGATGTTCAAACCACTGTACAAGAGCCTCCTAGAGTCTGAAATCATGATGTTATTTATTAAGGAGATCAGTGTGTGAAGTATTTGTTTTCTGTGCATTGTTGACAATTTTGAAACTGTTCGGTTACTTATGACTAGCTCTTTGACACAGACTTTGACATTTGAAATTCAATTTGAGCGATGGACAAGCAGGCGAAATCATATGCATGTAAAACATCATACAATTGGAAAAAGACATTTGGCATTGAAATACATGTATACCTCTGATGAATTTGTCTCATAATGGAACATTCAATTGTTATACATTGTAGATAAAAAAATAAAATTGTAGATGAGATTTATTTGGCCCAATATATATATATATATATATATATATATATATATATATATATATATATATATATATATATATATATATATATATATATATATATATATATATATATATATATTTAACACTGAAGAGGTAATTACCCTGAATATTGTCAACTTGGTCAAGCATTTTTGTTCCTCATTTAGACCCTGAATAACATTCAAGATCAAATGTCAAGGTCAAAAACAAAATTTACTTATATATGGCTTATAAATACTGAAACTACTATGAATTCATATACCTGTTTTATAAGAAAGAATTCGAAGGAATATGTGTGTGTTCACTGCAATAATTATTGCTGTCAATCTATCGGACTATGAAGATTTATGAAAATGTTTTCTGTTAAACATAAATTAAATTCTCACTCATAAAAATATGGTTATTGAGATAC